AGATTGTGGATTTATTCCTTTAACAATAAACGAAGTTAATAAATATTAAATTTTTCCTGAGATATTGTTTTCTTTTTATTATTTGAAAACTATTTTTTAAGTTAATGTTTTTGCAGTTTTTACAATTTCTTTTTTATTTGATTAGTGAAACAAAAAAATAAAATATTTTCGAAAATATTGACTAAGCCGTTTTTAAAAATCGGCTCAAAATGAGCTGTTAACAACAATAGTTAATATGCTTGCTTATTAAATGATAATACTCGCCGAAAAATATGATAAAATACCAAATGGATGAATTTTTTGTATATATCAGGTCGAATATAATTTAAAAAAAATTCCGAGCCGGGCCTAAAAATGTTTTTTTTAAAAAATCCGGCCCCCAAATTCTTTTTTTAGAAATTTTTTTAATCCGGGCCGGGCCGTGCAAATGGTACCTCTGCAGGTCTCTGATTATTCTTTTATTCTCAATATTTTTTTATTATTCTTTTCAATTCTAGGTGATTTTTTATACATCATTTTCACTTCATTATCAATAATTAATATATAAATTTACTTTAAAAACCTCAAAATATAGCAAATGAATTGTTTGATGAAATAAATATCATTGTAATTGATTATTAATTAAATTTATAATATACTTTTAAATGCTTGATTAAATTAGATGATGGGTCTGCAGAGTCACTTATAAGTTTGTGTCATTCTTACTAGCCGTTACAATCCTGGGAGGCTAAACTAAAAAAATTTGTAGCGATAGATGCTTCACCTCCTTCTTATTTTACGGGCCTTTGGCCCGCTTTAAAAAAAATATTACTTTTAAATTGAAATTTGCAAATTCTGAACTAGTATTCAAAATTTTATATTTTGTCATTTATTATAGATATACTAATATTAGCATATAAATGGAAGTAAAACAATACAAGACATTTGTTAAGCTTATTTTTTAATACAAAATATTTTATTTTATGTCGCTATAATTATGTGTAAAACATTATCCAAATAAAAAGTAATAATGTGATTTGACCAATAACCTACACATAACTGACGCTATGGACTAAATACTACATTGCTAGAGTTATCCATAAAATTTTTTAAATTTGTTTTCTAAGTGTATATTTACTTGTTAAACATTATTCTAAATTTTTTTAAATATTATGATTTGACCGACAACTCAAAACACACTACTACTAAATATTTGATTGACCATTATTGCTAGTAATATCCATAGCAAAATGTTCATTTTTGTTTCATATCGCTATAATTATGTGTAAAACATTATTCCAAAAAATATTTTAAAAATATTGATTTGACCGATAACCAACCATATGACTAATTATTGCATTGCTGGCGTTATCTATTGAATTATCCTCATTTTTGTTGTATATGCGTATATATACGTGTTAAGCATTATTCTAAAAAAAATATTTTAAAAATATTGGGATTTGACCGATTGCCGACAAAACCGACCGCTTATTAAATATTTGATTGATCAACATTTCTAATAATATCCATTGTTTGTTAAATAATTTTTGAATTACATATAAGGAAATGATGATATCAAATAGAAAAAAAACAAAAATCGCTTCCTCATTGAATCATATATATTTTAGTTTGAACTAATTTAATAAAATTATTTTTAATTAATTTGAATGCATTATTGAGATCGTGTTAAATCGATTCATAAAATATTTTTCCAAGGAGTAAATTCTATAGACACATTTTACAGGGTGATTGTTTCTACAGTAAGTCCTGGTGCATAGACGTTGTCATAATACCAGAATGTGGGCCTATAAAATATTAAATAAGCAGTCAGTTTTGAGTTAGTAATCGGTCAAATGACAATATTTTGAAAATATTTTTTACAAAATTGAAGATTTTTCAATAGATAACGCCAGCAAAGTATAAGTTCGGTTATGAGTCGGTAATTGGTAAAATCAAAATATTTAAGAATATATTTCGAATGTTTTACACCTAAATATGTGCATAGAAAACAAAACTGATGACATGAGCAATAACGTCAGCAATGTGTACAAATTTGCGATTATTTTTTGATTCTAAGTTTACCCATAAATTTAATGTCAATTGAAAGCTATCATTTTTTTTAATTTTTAAGTTTTCCACATGTATCTGCACCCAACCAAATTATTCTGGACCTAATAAGATATAATAATTTATATGCTTTAACGCCAACTTATATATAAATTTATTACAAATTAAAATTTGAGACATATAAATCTAGTAAATAGATTTATATATTAATAAATATTTAATCTCTAGTTTTTATTTGATAAAAAATTGATTAAAATTTATAAAAAAATATATTTTTTATTTTTAAAAAAGTGTATATAATAAAATTATTATTAAACTCTTTTTAACTATACTTTTTAACAATGCAGTTTAATGAAGTATTTAGTCATATCGAAAAATCACTATTAAATTATTGGTCCTTCAAAAAACTAATATTTCATGTGGTCTTTTCGACGTGATAATCATATTCACCCCTTTCCTTAGTCGCAATAACTTTAATTGTTTTTATGTTATTCAAATTATCTTATACTCCTGTCATGAAAAATCTGGTTTTTTAACTGATATAAAAACTTAGAGAAGAATTGTGATAATTTTGATATAATTATTACCTTGCATTTCACCCCTACAATAAAACCTCCGTAGAAAAGCATGAATAGGACTTAATCTACTATTAGTAGAACTGTGCACCACTAGCTGTTGGCATTCAGCTGACATTTTTGTTCTGGGGAGATTTCTTATTAGTTTATTAATATTGATATTAGGCTCTTGTCCAATTTGCAAAATATTTTAAAATGTGGGGATAAATTATCCTGCAAAGAATATAGAATATTATTAAAAAATTAATATAATAATTAATATTTAAAATTAGTATGACAAATGTTATTATGAGAGCGAAAATTCTCAATGGAACTTTCTATTTTCCAAAGAACTTTCCTGGTATTTTCACCTCGTCAAAATGTTCTTGGAAAGCTGAGGATAATTCACATTTGCAGACAATTATATATCTATAATATTTTGTATTTTTCTGATGTAGTATCCCTTCAGGATCATTTGATGTAATCGTAATGATCATGTGCTTAGACAAAAAAGAACTGGCCCTAATGGTTCTCCTTATTAAGTACTTTTCAATGATTAAAATTGAAGTCATATTGAGTTTCCATAACTATTATTAATATATGCTAAGTATTTTGAAACAAGCAAGCACGGTTAAAGAGTTAAATTTATTTATAAAATCTGGCTTAACTAATATAGTATTCTGATCAAGGTTATCTAGTTGGATCCTTATCACGTTATATGTAATTTTCACAACCACTCTTAGCCTCGATGCCCAATTGATGAGGTTGCAATGAGATACTTCTTTGATTCGAGAGCTAGATATTTTTGATATTATTCGAGATAGAGATATGGGAATGGTTAGTCCCTGCTTTTTTGAAATATACAATAAATCTGACTTAAATAAAATATACACATACCTTTTTTATCAATTATCATGCACTTTCTTTATTCTCCATTTTTTATTATTTTATATTAATGATAAATGATGCATAGGTTACTCAGAGTAATTAGGTAAACAAGTTTATAATGGCTATAGATAACGTTATAAAGCAAATACTGGGGCTTGTTTGTTTTTACTAATAAAATGCTCAAGAAATCCAAAGATACGTTTTTCAATCAAACATGTATTGGAGATTGGCCCGAGATAGTTGGTAGAAAAGACTGGGAATACCCTTTCTTTAGATTAAAATATACATCCATATAGCTTGAAAAGCACCGAGAATCAAAGAAAGATAAAAACCAGACTCTAAGTTTAATATCGTCTATGTGTTTGAGCATTTTGTTTTGTATAAATTTATTAAATCAAGGTAGTATATTTTGATTTTCAGATGAATTGAAGCTTCAATTAAACTAAGTCGTCGTTTTTAAACATAGTGTACATATGAGTCAAAATATTTATAGATTTAGATGTATGAGATTAGTTTGTGTAAGTTTTATTTTGAATTTTAACACATATAGGTAAATAAAAGTCATTAGATATCTAAAAAATCAGGATCAATAACCAAAATTTTTAAAAGATTTTTATAAAAATTTTTAATTGATCGTCTCCTGGTTCTTAATGCAAAGATGTCAGAAATCAAAAATTTTTAATCTCATTAAAATTTAAAATAAATAATATTTTAAAATAATTATTAAATAAAATTCATTAGAATGGCTAAATTTTAATGATCAATGAAATATTTGTCTTTTAATCATTTCAATAAAATATTTGAAATATATAAATTAAAAAAATGTTAATCTAAATTTTATTTATGAGAATGAACAATCCAAATGTTAATTAATTAGTTTATACCTAGATATAAGATGCCCTAGTGACATTTATAGGTGTATAAATTTTGCGATATCTTGTAAAATGATATTAATAAATATGCTATTTTAACTTTAAAAATATTTAAATTTTGGTTGAAATGATCAAAAATCTTAAAATATCATATAAATGGGAATATTTAAATGTAATTAAAAATAAATTTGGTATAATAATTTATTTTATATTTATTTTTGGAAATAAAACATTCAATATAATATGTAGGTAATATTTAAAATATATAGGATGCGATAAAATAAGTAAAAAGGTCAGTTAGACTATATAAAAATTTGGCATGATGAATTTAACAGCAAAAAAATAAATAATATAACACAAAAAGGAGGTCAAAAATTCTGAAGCAAAATTCATAATAGTTGTACCATTAAATAGGAATGTAAATAATTAGTTTGACCATATATATAAAGCTGAAAATTTGAACTTTTTTATAATTATTCTTTTAATCAAATTGTAGTTTTTTAAAAATTTTTATAAAGTATAATATTCTTTCAATCAAATATCATTTATTTAGCTCACAACTATATATATGATAAATTTATAACAAGTAATTTAGAGTAAAAACATAGTTTATGATAAATAATCGATAACACACTAAAAGTGGAAATTATTTTGTTTAATTATACGTTTAAAGAATTAAAATAGTATATCCAAATCGCTACAACATTCAAATGAAGAGTTTTTTAAACATCCTGATCCAAAATTGGATGTATTTCTTCGGTTTAATAAATGTAAGTTTAAATTTATCGATCATAATTCCTTTTTTTTTAAAAAAATTTAAAGTAATATATTATATTTTAAATACAAATTGAAGATAATAATAGCGCAAGATCTTATACCTCCTCCAGGCCCACCCTTTTCTCCGCCTATCAATGTTCATAAAGCTGTGTCCAAAGAATTTAATATACCTTCCGACAGAATCGGAGAATTTATAGAGTCACTTAAAAGTAGATTGAGTGAAGAAGGAATTGACATAAAAACCATCAAAAATTCTCAACGTATTCCAGCTCTGATAAAGAATGTAATATATAAAAATGGGGATTTAAAAAGACTCAAAGGAAGATCGGGGGCTGAAGAAAATAGGAATAATTTTGATGATGAAGATGTGTCCTTCGATACCACTGATTATTATGCGCCTAAACAAACGACTCCTGCCCGCCATCTTGGTTCATATGATCAACAATTTAATTATAACACAGTAGGCTTTAATCCAGATTACGATAATTCTGAAGAGAGCAGATATCAAAATTTTCTTAGAGTTATACCTTCAAACGATAACCAAAAATTTGATCAATACAGCGATGACAATTATAATTGGAAACCTAGAGGTTCAAATCAAAACACATATTATGGAGGTAATTCGTTTGAACTAGAAAATGCATATAATACCCAATCATTTGAAAGAACAACTCCGTTAAGTTACACCTCGTATAATAAACGCTCAAGTGTTAGATCTGGTCCACAATCGTACCAATATTTTAGAAATAATTGGCAGGCAACTCAATCACCAAATAATATACAGGGTATCTCAACCACCAAACATAGGCCCCAGTACATGACTCCTGCAAGCAAATTTGATCGATATTATGATTACGAAGATTTAAATGGCAGGCTAAGACGGGGGAAAAGAAGTTACGACGTCAAGAGTAAAAAAACCCAAAGTGATGTCAATTTTGAAAAGGGGTATTATCATGATGGAATCTTTAATTATACCAAAAAATTAACTGAAGACCTTGAACCATCTTATAAACGAGATACATGGAATCAGAACACCCCAATTCCAAATACTATTGATTGGAATTTGTTTTCACAAATGAGAAATAAAATTAATTTCCCCAAGTTTTTGAAGAAGCAAAATTTAACTAATGTTGGTAACTTTAAAAATCTTAGATCATCATATGAATTGCCAGAATACTTAAACCCTATTGCAACAATCCAAAACTCTAATGAAAAATGCTGCGAAAAATTAGAAAAATTAAAGGGTTTCAATAGAATAATAAATAATTTTGATTTTCAAAATAATGGACACAGAAAATATCCAGGTTATGAGCTAGGTTATTATGATGAAGGTAAACAGGTGGCGACAGATTTCCAATATTCTGTCGATTCTAAAAACATCGATAAACCGGTTTACAATTCTTTGAGAAACTATACAGATAATGATAAATCACTCCTACCATCCTCGGATGACCCTTCAGGGTTTGGCTATCCCGAAGATCAAAAGTCACCCAGTTCTAATAAAACAAAAAGATTTGATAATTTCAAAGCCTTAAACGTCTCCTCTTCAAATTCGTCCCGGGTAGTCAAACACAGCGCATTTATAGATTTTCCGGATGAATCACAATACAATGACAATAATAATCATGTTCAAAAAGTCATGAATGAACACGACATAAGAAGGATGGAAGAGTTTATCACGAATCCTTTATTCATAACCAGCATTCCATTTAGTCAATACGACTCCAGCGAAATTCCATCAACTTCCACAATTGATGCCCCAGATACTGGCTACGATCTGAGTAGGCCTAATAATAACTATGAGAACATTGAGACCAAAGAGCCCCCATCGGATAAAGTGGAAAGGTCTTACAAGCATTTCAGTTACAAAAAACGAGGTCACGTTAATCAAAAGTCGTCTAAAGTTATAGGTGATCTAAGAAAAAAATAAAATATAAATAATATGCTAAAAAAAATAATTGAAGGGGGAATAAGCATTGGAATTAAGCTTAATTTAACAAATAAAAGGAGATATAATATTGTTTTGTTAATTATTATTAAGCAATAAGAAAAACGAAAATAAACATAAAACAAAAATAAAAAACACATAAAATAAACACTTAAAACAAAAACACAAAAAACAGAACAAATTTAAATTTAAAAATAATTTGCTAAGAAAAAAAAAAAGGTTAATTTCTTTAATAACATTTAACAAAATGATGTTATAATATGACGAAAATATATGACTAGTCTTAAGGGATCTCCCTGATGAATACCCTCCCTCCCTCCCCCCTATAATAAATGAAATTGAAATAGTGGCATAGCTATTATAACTATACTTTTAATATTCAGGGTTCTTTGAACAAAAGACAGGAACAAAATGGTCTCTTTTGATTGTAATAAGTGCGTTTTTGAAATCGGGTTTTAAAAATAGTTGATCGGAGTCACCTTGGAAAAACAAATTTGGGCGGCATGGGACAAAGATTCCGAACCTCTACGTATAACCTAATGATTTTAGATATATTGGCTGGAAGATAAACCCAATTTGGTCTGATGCCACCAACTTATCTTTTGAACAATAAGCCCACCATAAAAAATTGAGAGAATTTGAGGTATAACTCCTTTAACATCAAGGTCTCCTGCCGAGACTTTTTTAAAAATAATTGAATAACTTTCATTATTTCTGATGGGAACATTTTTTCTAGATCAAATTATTTTTTATAAAAGGTTTGGAGAATGCCCAGGGGGTGCTTTTGCCTTAAGGATTTAAGAGTAATGTGGCCATTTAGGGCCAAGATATTACGAGAAGAGTTGGAGGGCTATACTAATATTTAGACCGTGTAAAATTGGCCTTTTCCGACAATTGGTGGATTTAATAGTTTGGTTAGAAATGCTATTTAGTTATAGGAATTGACGGTGAGAGTTAAAAGATATAATTAAGGATTTGGAGTGTTTTGAAATTTCTATGTTTTTATAGTATAATTTGTGAATGAGAAAAAAATTCTCCCATTTTTTTAAATTGTTTATGTTAGTATGTTGAGTGGATGAGATTACTAATAGATTCAGCGAATAAGGTACGAACACCTATAGAAATTCTTGAAATAGTTAGATTTATAGTTTTGGAAAGAAATTTACCTGCCCAGGAGATAAAGGGGTTTGGTAAAGCAGAAATCGCCTGCAGAACAGGTAGTGAAATTTCATGGTAAATTAAATTAATCAGGCTATTTGAAGGTGGGTTATGAAAATTATTGGTTTGTGAGTTGGAGTATCGGGGCTTTCTAGGACATGAATATAAGAAGAATATAAAAAATAATTAAGGATTTGGAGTGTTTTGAAATTTCTATGTTTTTGTTTGAGGGAGCTTCTTGGTTGGAAAGTATAATTTGTGAATGAGAAATAGGTTCGCTCAGTTTTTTTAAAATTGTTTATGTTAATGTAAGTTGAATGGATGAGTTTACTAAAAGATTCAGCGAATAAGGTACGACACCTCTAGAAATATTTGAAATAGTTGGATTTATAGTTTGGAAAAGAAATTTACTTGCCCAGGAGGAATCGCCGGCAGAACAGATGGTGATTTCATGGTAAATTAAATTAATCAGGCTATTTGGAGGTGGGTTTATGGGAATTTTATGTTTGTGAGTTGGAGTATAAGGGCTTTCTAGGACCATGAATGTAAAAACTCTCTATAGTGATTACAATTGCTCTATTTCACAAGGAACAAATAGCAAATGTTATTTTATTATCAGTCAAGAATTTTGAATAGGTTGCATTAGCCGTCTGACTTTATCATTTGATCAACTTAAATTTAGGAAAGCATATTAAAAAGATTATTATGTTTCAATTAAAACCATCTGTAAGATTAGGATGGAAGGCAGCATTTTGATATGGCTTAGGTCTGATAGTAGTAATTCATTTATAATTATATCAATATGATTGACAAGGATTTTAAAAGGTCTAAGATGCCATTATGTAATTTAGAATGTTTAAAAATTTTTTAATTTATAATTTTTATATTTTAGAGTCTACAAAATATTTAACAGGAATAAACTTTAGCTCACTACCATGAACCTAGTAAATAAGGCCCCTTTACCTTGATTTCGAATTAAAAGTATAAAAAGTTTATCTAGTTTGTATAGAATACCGATTTTTTCAAGGGGTAGCCCTAACATTGAGGGAAATCAGAGCGAAATATACACGGGGTATGTAAAATAATTTATGATACCCCCCCCCCCCTTCCCAAATTATGTCAATTGTGTTATAATGATTAATTGTTAGTGACCATTGAAATTTAAATATTAAAAAAATTGTAATTTTAAAACTATAAAATTTGTGTAAAATAATAATTATTGTGTCAAGTTCATCATTTTTAAGTGTTAAATATACCCTGGCTTTAAACTTATTTTGACTTGTTCCAGTGTGCACACGCTAAAATTTTAAGAAAACTTAAAATTTGGAAAACGATTATATCTCACATCGGATTTTGTTAAGGAAGGTGGGGGAGCACTATTAGCTCCCCTCCAAATTTTATTGTATGCATTTAGGCCCATTTATTGTAGGCCTTTGGCTATATTATATTTCTATAAAAATAATTGGTTTTCATTCACTTATTTTTTTTTATAAAAATTGCATTTTTTTCGAAAAATTTTGAATTATAATCGTTATTTTAAAAAAGTTATTAACCTTTACTAATTTTTCTTTCTAATTCTTCTTTATTATTATATATAGTATTCTTTTTTGAAGGAAGAGGGAGATTTATCAGCTTAAAATGATATTTATGAGGATAAACGAATTTGCTATGGGGGGTGAGAATTTTATTCTTCTCCCCATTAGTTACGTGCATGGTGCATGCATGGAGGAGACTGTAGATCCCTGTTGAAATATTAATCACTCATATTCATCAATGTTTCTAAGTTTTATTTACCTTTTTAAAAAACTCTTCCAGATGTGCCCCGGTCTCCCTTATATTGGTGCTCCTTTACATCACAAAATTATATAATTTGTTTATTTTATAATTAATTAGAAATTAACCTATTTTATTAAATTTTATTCATAACATTTTAATTACTACATCTTCACAACTTCTTTTCAAAATTTTTTATTGTAAATATTTTTTGAGATAATTGAATCATCTTGATCTAAATTTATTTTCGCAGGTAATTATAAAAAAAATTTTTTTTAACAATTCCCAATGTATCTTATGAAATATAAAATGTATTATGTGCCAAATGTTTTCTTAATAATATTTATGATTTTTATAATCACTATTAATATAAAATAAACAAACATATAATGAAACTATTCTAACTTCTAAAACCAAATTACCTCGCTGCTAGATGCCAAAAAAGTTATTGTTAAATCTTGATATCACAAGTGTATATAATATACACAAAAATAAGAATGTATATCGTTTCAAATTTGTAAAAAATTATTGGTAACAACCTAATTTTGAGTTGGAATTGCATTTTTACTTTATTTGAAGGATGATCGAAATTTGATAGTGGATGTACTATAAATGTTTAAAAATGATTTAATTTTTTTTAATAAAAGCATGAAGGTTTTAAAAATTTTACATAAAATCCATAATAAAAAGGGAAAAATCAGTTTTGATAAATTTAATATTGATATTCAGATGAACTTCATAAAAATCTAGCTTAAATAGAATATTTATATGTTAGAATTAATTTAGTTTTTTAATTTTAACATTTTTTAAAGATACAAAAGTAAAATGTGACTTTGGCCTGAATCTAATGAAAATTCAATTGACCTTTAATTCGCCGTTTTATGGTGTTATATATGCCAAAGGATTTTACAAAGTTAAATCCTGCCGATTCAGAGGCCATGGGGAGAGTGAAATAGTATACGTTCTGCCTTTCAATGGTTGTGGAATGCAAACGTTAATGGAGGTATAAATTATAAATATTTTTATTTAGATGGTTCTAATAAATTGAAATCCTTCATTAAAACTAACAAATGATTTAGGGCCAAAATTTGATAACGGGAAAAATGAAGTTAAACAACATTATTATAGTCATGTTCGATTCTGTCTCAGGAGTTTTGGAAGCCCAAGATACTGCATTTAAAACATCTTGTGTCATGGGTGGAAGTGGAAACAACGTATTGAAAGCTAAAGTAGATGTCCCGTAAGTGTCTAAATAAAATAAAATATTTTTAGCTTTTTATTTTTATTATTATTTCTCGCCATTTTAAATAAGATCAAATTCGTTTAATGCCATTTCAATTCCACAATCTAAATAAACAAAACATGATTATTTAATAAAATTAAAAAATAGAATATATAAACGAAGGGGGGTTGCTGGCTATCCTCAATGTGTAAAAACCGGGGATGAGAGGATGCACCGTAACCAGGCCCCAGACATAAATAAACCTTATTTAAAAAATAATAAGATGCCATTTGTTTTAAAGAATAAATTATTTTTAAGGATAGGATACCAAATTGTTGAATTAAGTTGCCGTTGATATTTAAACAGAAGAATTCAACTTTTCTGGGGAAAATAAAGAAAATGGCTTTATTAATACAAAACACATATTCCTAACATGACAGAATGGCCTCTATATTCTAATAAAGTTGTTCATTAAAATAAGAATTTTAATATTGTACACATGTTTTTTTGTGTATAAATATTTTTAATAAGCTGTTTGAAAGACGACCCGAGAGATTATTTAGTTATTTAATTATTTGTGTGTAATTCAAAGTAATTTCATAAACAGACCCTATAAATTTGAACCTTATAAAATTTCTAAAGTTTACCGTAAATCAAAAATGTAAATTATTAAATATTCATATAGGGAAGAAAAGATGAATTAGAAAAGGGATGATATTCAATTTAGAAAGATAATAGCGGACATCTTTTTTTTACTAGGGGCCCGGAGTAAAAGGTTGTATCAGGGCCTGCAGAATCGTTATGCCATTGGATCCTCTATTGAATATTAATGAACAATATGGTTATTAAGATCATTGAGGGTTGTTTAAAAATTTTAAGGGGTAGTTTTACTAAGCATATATAACTTTAATTAATTTCGTGTTAACTTTTCAAATTTATTTTGTATATTCATGGATATTTCGGGCAAAATCAATCAATTTTAAATGATATTCTTTAAATTATAAAAAATATTTATCGTAGAATGATTGATGCAACGAAAGAAATTTTGCCAGATACATTAAACTTACCACCTGCATGGATGAAAATAGTGAAAGGCAAAGATCCCTTTGAGTCTCCCGCTCATTTACTTCATTTAGGACAAATTGGGACAATCGTGATAAGTGCAACATCTCTACACGGTTTAAAAAACACTTATTACAATAAATTATGCCCAGGATTAGTATTGTTACGCTCTTTTTTAAAAGGAATGAATCCCTTCTTCTTTTAACCTGTTATGTTCAAAAAAAATATTTATATCATTTCAATTAACTAAAAAATCTTTTTTTGCAAATGCAAATGAAGCACAAAACATAACTTTTAATATTTGAAAATGATAGAAGAAAATGTATATAAATAATATCGATATTATGTAATAACAAAAAATATTTATAATAATTTATTTGATCATAAAGGTAGAAAGTTTTCAGAATTCAAATCAAATAAGCAATGCATGTTCCCGAAACCCTTTTCTTTTTGAGCAACAATATCCAAGTGCTAAATAGTTGCACTAGGAAAAAAAGAGGGCATTGGAAGCAAATATTTAAACCTTTGTTTTACCTCGGAAAAGCTTCTGTCCTCATTAGACTAGGCACTAATAAACTCATAGTGGCTCAGCCCTCCTTTTATGCTGGTTGTGTCAAACGGACATTACCACCTGAGAAAACTAATTGGTTAAAAAATTTTTCAGGTAAATTATCTTACTAAGTAATTTAATTGAATTCCCATAAATCCTCATAATCAATGGGGGGTTTTTTGAGATGGAAGTGTACACATTTTTATGTTGGACATTAGTTTTCTTATAAAAGTAATTTACTATTATCTTCATTCCTATTTTCATCTCTTATTACTTAATTTAATTTATATATGATAGAGATCATAACATTTTTACTATGATATTATCATAATTAATGTTACGTATAAGATACTTTAGCTGTACAAGAATTTAGGAAACTCAATATCCGATAAATCAATCAATTTTTAACCCATATTTATATGTAGTTAGCTTTCGATTCAATAACCTAAAATTTATTGGATAAAATTGGATATTAATTTTAAAAGATGAAGCAAAAAAAAATGAACTGAAAAATTTAAATTAAAAACACTCTCAACCTTAAACCAAGAAATTCAATTTGAAATGAGGTAACTTCACATGCTTTCGGAATACATTTCCTCTACTTATTGTGAAATATTTTTATAAAATATATATACACGCTTGTCAAAATTTACTTGAATAATTTTAAATGTTAATTTATTGTTTAAATATTTGAAGGACCAAATTATAATATATATTATGTTAAAATGAACATTTAATATAACTAAATATTTCGTGAAGTTAAATAAGTGTATATAAAATATTATGGTATTCAACGAGTGTATTAAAATTATGTTTAAACAATTTAGAAAATTAAATTAAAGGAGTCAGTCCTGTTCCAGAATTTCATGAGCGCTACTCAACAATACTTAGATCTGTGTGCCGGCCGGTTCCGATATTTCTGGCCATGCCGAAAACGCCGTCTTTTATGAAAATCACACCGGTGCGCCGTCGATTTTCACATTCGCGGGGTATGGCTGGTGCAAATATTTTTTTAAAATTATTTCCATATTTTTTACATCTTATTATAATAATTGGTCAGCATCACAGTTAAATTTTTTATGTCAATCAGGACTTTGATTTATCATGATTATTGACATAATTCTAGAATTCAATCAATCAAAAATCGAAAATTCCTAAGTTACCATAATTTTACGTATTTTTTAAAATGGAGGCCCAATGTTAGAAATGTATTTGATTAGGTGAATATGAACACCACTTATGCTTGGGTCATGATTTACATAATCTGGTTACAACGTTATTAAATACCTTTTGTTAAAAATCTTATCAAAAGAAATATGATAAATTATTGATGCTCTAAGATATAAAAATGCTGAGATTGCATTTGAGCACGGGGTAGATCAAAGAAAATGCCAAGTACAATAGATCTAACATCAGATATGCTAGATATTCATTAGCGCAGAAATTATTTACTCAAACGATATTAGAAAAAACTTGCATTATGATTTCCTGTTTTTGATCTGCAAGTAATACATTTATTTTTATTTCAAAAATAATATAGGCGTGGCTTCTCTTCTAGCCCTAATCAAAAATTGAAAACTGTGTCAAAGAGCAAAATTACTCAGCGAGTTTAATTTATTATAAAACATTTTAAACGTAAATAGTATGATGTTATTAAAATAGTAAATATAGTGATGAGAATCAAGGGGAAATATTAATATTTGATAAAATTACTAACACTCAACAATAAGTACAATTTATGATTACACTTTAATTGATTAGAACAAAAATGTCATATTCTTTTTGGAGAACGCCATTCATAAGATATGGATGTTTCTAAATTTTTGGAGAGAAGAGAAGATCGAACTTCCTAATCTTTTCACGCTGGCTAATAAAAAAAAAACTCTTTGTGTCCCGGCAAATAGCACACTTAGTGAAAGAGTTTACTCTAGTACTAGGTCGAAGTTAAATTTAAGGAGATTATCATTATGTCCGGAAAATTAAAAAAAAATGTTTATAGATGAAATTAAATTACAAAATCGATTTTGAATATATAATAAGTTTTCTCTTCGATAAATATCAAAAGATATGCTGAAATATTTGTAGTGTAGTTATTGTATATTTTAATTTAATTCTTAAAAAGGTTAATTAGCAATTAAAAAATATATGTTATTAAAAATTAATACTGTGCGCAAATTTATGCCGCCTATGTTGACGGTGGCTAAGAATCGGCGCGTCTCCGGCCGGCGATTAGATTTTTAAACTTGCGCCGGTCGCCGATGGTTTTGACGGCGCACAGGTCTATATAAATTTTGTTGAATTGAAATATTAACAAAATCTGTTAACAATATTTTGAGAGTTCAACGTTAAGAATTATTCCTATGTTATTAACATTATAATCAGTAATCACCTGTTTTTAAATATATACACAAAATATAATTTGTTTGTCATTTAATTAGGACTAATCGACATATTCGCTTTTAATTGTTATGCTCACGATGGAATGGGAATGGGGTTGATACAACTTATTGATGAATATGGGTATTTATAACTTTATATTTAAGCAAGTTAAAAAAAAAACCAAAACATGGTTTTATTAACTAAAACATGGTTTTATTAACTAAAACATGGTTTTATTAACTAAAACATGGTTTTATTAACTAAAACATGGTTTTATTAACTAAAACATGGTTTTATTAACTAAAACATGGTTTTATTAACTAAAACATGGTTTTATTAACTAAAACATGGTTTTATTAACTAAAACATGGTTTTATTAACTAAAACATGGTTTTATTAACTAAAACATGGTTTTATTAACTAAAACATGGTTTTATTAACTAAAACATGGTTTTATTAACTAAAACATGGTTTTATTAACTAAAACATGGTTTTATAACTAAAACATGGTTTTATTAACTAAAACATGGTTTTATTAACTAAAACATGGTTTTATTAACTAAAACATGGTTTTATTAACTAAAACATGGTTTTATAAACGAAAGCATGGTTTTATTTTTAAAAATTCTTTGAGCCATTGTTGATTTTCGTAGAATGCTCTGCTATTAACATTCTGAAATTTTTAAAAATCGTTAAAAATTCACATTTAAAAAAAATGCATAGAAATATATAAATTTAATTTCGCAGATGTCCATTGCACGGAAAATTGATAGGGCCTCAAGCTAAAACAGAATACGAGGATAAAATTATACTGTTCGCTCATTTTAAAGTTTTCAAATTTCCGGATGTTCAAAATGTATTTTTTGAGTGCTCAATCAAATTTTGTCACCACAAATGTCCACCAGTAATAATTATCCTTAAAATTATTTATTGACAAGGGTTGGAATTAGAAGGAACAGAATACCTTTAAATGGAGCCCTATATCGACCAAAATTTATTTTATTTATCTTCCTTATCCAGTCCATATCTACGTCCCCAATCATTTTCACAAATCTATCTCTCACGTCTGGCCTAATTTTTAGGCCCGGTCCGGCTCAAAATATTTTTAAAAAATTTGTCCTGCCTGGTCCGATCCAGAACAAATTTTTTTTATTTGTCCCGAAAAGCCCGACCCGTAATAAAAATAATAATTATTTGTCGGCCCGATCCGAATTAATTTAAATATAGAAAAATTTAATATTATTTGATTGTAAAAATAATATTTGACAAATAAAAAAAAATTAGCGCCTTGTTTCTTGCAAGAATTTTAAAAAATATCAATTTTTTTGACAAAATGTAATAATATCATATTTATAAATTTAAACCCGGCCAGAACGAACCGAAATTATTTAAAATAGACCCGGTCCAAGCCCACGGGCCATGATTTGCAGATCTCTAGCTTACCTTAATGTATAGGAAAGTGGTAATATCTCAATATGGGATTTTACCAAGATAACATACTTTACCCGGTAATTGATAATATTCCATTTGGACGTTTAGTCCAGAGGCTTTAGAGCTTCTTCATTCCATTTGATAAATTTCTACGAGGATCTATTAGAACTTTATCATCTGAAGTAAAGAATGTCCCCAAAAAAAGTTTTATCTGCTATTCACACTTTCCTCCGTGACCAGGGTTGCCAGGTCAAAATTTTCAAATTGTGGGAGAAATTAGGTATTTTGTGGGAGAAATATAAAAATTGTGGGAGAAATTGCTAAAAAAATTTTTTTTGCGGGCCTTCGGCCCGCAAAGGCCCGGCCGCAGGCCGGGATTTAGAATTGACTTAGTTATCCGCTTATTATTTTTTATAAATATAAAATCTAATCTAAAATAAAATAGGTAATTATTTTTCAAAATAAAATAGCCAACTATTTAAAATAAAATAGCTAACTTTTTCCAAAATAAAATAGCCAACTATTTTTCAAAATAAAATAGCCAAATATTTTTCAAAATAAAATAGCCAACTATTTTTCAAAATAAAATTTCCAACTCTTTTTCAAAATAAAATAGGTAACTCTTTAAAATAAAATAGCCAACTATTTTTCAAAATAAAATAGCCAACTATTTTTCAAAATAAAATATCCAACTCTTTTTCAAAATAAAATAGGTAACTCTTTAAAATAAAATAGCCAACTTTTTCCAAAATAAAATACGCAACTATTTTTCAAAATAGGTAATTACTGTACGACACAAAATTTCTTAGAGTACTATCTTTATTATTAAAATAACATATTGATTTATTATAATATATTAATTTTGTTTAAAAATAATAACCAACGATCTTTTTTAATTACAAAAGAATGTAAACAAGATAAAATTTTATAAAAAAATTGTAATTTTACAATGTAAAAAAATAAATGTATAAATAAGATTTTATAAAAAAACAAACAATTTTAAATTTACAATGTAAAAAATATTTATAATCAGTGCGGGGAAGTTGTTCTACAGTATTTAGTTAATACAATGGGGGAAGGGAATATGATATTTTGAGGTATCAAAAATCTTCAAAGCATAAATCAGTACAGGGCATTCTATCAACATCTATTGCAAAACAAAAATATTCTTCAAAAATTAGAATTAATATAGATGCAACTACAGTTGCGGAAATGGTAAATACCTATCATGCAGTACAACATTCAGAGAGTTACTCAACATCTCAATGTTGGTAGAATCTTTCCCCATAATATTTAACGACTAATATAAATAAAAAGTATACTTTGTAGAACACAAAATGAGCAAGGCTATCAACAATGTTTTAGGATATAAATCCAGAAGGTCAATTCTTGACGATTTGAAAGATGTGCAAACATATGCAATTATAACAGATGCATCTAATAAGGAGATATCAAAACATTTCCCTTGATCCTCCCCTATTTCAACAAAATTAATGTCATTTCAATAAAACTATTAAAAAAATTTTCTCCAGATATGAAATATCCAAAGACATAGCTAACCATATATAATGGTAAATATGGCAGATTTGGCATTACCAATGAATTGCATGGCAGCTTTCTGATCTGATAATTCCTCAGTGAATTTGGCAAAAACCATAGTGTATTTACAGAATTGAGTCAGCATAATGTTGGTTGACAGGTTCCTCCTAATACGCGCCATCGTAGAATTTTAAAATTTTACAAACCTTTAAAAAATAAATAGATTATAAAAGCTGTCCTATTTGAAAAAAAATTTCAAAAATAAATGGCAGAAGTATATTTAGGAATTTTACATATAGGAAATCTACTATATGCTGTTAATATGCAGTTGCAATCAGAAGAATATAATTTAATAAAGGCTCACTAAATTATGCTGCAGAAATACCAAAGTAATCCACTTCTAAAAGTTCTATTCTTCTATGAAAATGTTGAGTGGAGCACTGCAATTATAGAATCTAGAAATTTAAAATATATTTATAATAATTATACATACTATTCTAACTTCAAATTTTGAAAATGTCGAATGGATTGGATTGGATGGAGAATTTAAAATTAGCGGAAAAATAAAATAAAAGAACTAGACATATTTTTCGAATAAATATTTAAAATTTATTTTTAAAATATAAAAATAATCAAATACTGTTTCTCAAAATTATTATTTATATATTAAAAACATTAAAATGCTAAAAAAAAATTTGTGGGAGAAATTAAAAAATTGTGGGAGATTGTGGGAGATTTCGAATTGTGGGAGTTTTGTGGGAGTGAGATGTATGTGGGTAAACTAAAAAATTGTGGGAGACTCCCACTGATGGGGGAGGCATGCCGTCTCTCTTTTTTAAAAATATTTATATATATTTTCTGATTTATTATATCCTTGTCATCGTATTCTTATTTTTTTTTATTCATTTGTGATTTAATAACTATATTTTTTTTTATATAAAACACATTATAATTATATAAATATAATAAACAGAACACGATAAAAAAATAGAACACGATAAAAAAATAGAACACGATAAAAAAATAGAACACGATAAAAAATGAATAAAAGTATTAGGAAAAAATATCAATTTAAATATTTTTAGCCCCCTTGACTACAAAGAGATATTTGCATGAAGACAGGTCTGAGCAAGTCATCGAAGGGCTTTAACTCTATTCCTTCATTTTCCGCAGGGATCCAAACCGTAACATTGGTTCGGTTCAGACAAATAACGTTTAGGTCAGATTCGGTTCGTGAAAATAACAATTTTGGATCAGTTAGAATCTTTGAAAACTAGTCAAACTCGTTCATATACATCCTTATTTAAATTATGTATAAAGAAGCACATCTTTTTAAAATTTATCAATAAACTAGCATTTATATTATTATTACAACCTAATGTATTTAATTCAAAATAACTAATAAGTATTGATTAACTATAATATATTCCTATAAAATACTATTGAGCCTTATACAATTAAAATATTTTCTAAAATTCTCTTCGGCCAAATTATAGCCATATGGAGAAAAAATAAATCGAATAGTAGTATATAAAAATATCTAAAAGACTATATGCTTATCAATCAATGCTTATCTTATCAATCAAAATTGATTGTTAATAATTTTCAAAACAGTGTTTACATCTAAAGGCTGTATCAGGATTCACATACCTTTTTAGATGGTTGGTTCAGGTGACTAAATGTTTAATGTTTCATGTTTGGTTTAAGTTGTGTAAATAATAATTCTGGTTTAACGGGTTGATTCAGGTTCTGTTTGAATTCATAAATTTTGGAACCAAGCCATTCTTAAATAAAATAAAATGATGAAACTGAAACATGAGCCTCAGCCTAAAAACAAATAGGAAATTTTTGAAATAATATTTTTTTAACAAAATTCTGTTATACTATGCTGGATTATATTAGACTTAACCAGCTATTTTCAGTAAACAATTATGTTACACATTTTTAATATTATAATTCTTAGCAGATTAAGTTCCTAACGATTAAAAACACTTATTTTAGTTTTAAGAAACACCCATTCATAATCGTTTTATGAATAATAACTTAAGACCTGAAGGAATCGGAATTAGAACACTAAAGATCCAACTTATAATAGGGTGAGAAGTACTAAAATTATGAATTATTAAGAACGAATGGGATTTAATCATTGAATAAATGAATATAGAATATGAATAAGAAATGATTTTTTGTAATTATTTTATCCAAAATAATAACTATTTAAAAAACAAAATAACTATAAGGTCAATTGTAACGGTTATAAAGCTAAGATCGCTAACAAAAGCTATCGAAAGAAAAGGAGTATATCAAACATTTCCAGGTATTTTTAAAATGGCATTATCATCACCTGAATACAGGAATTGATTAATCACTATATCAAAAAAAAATTGAATTATCATAAATAAATATTGTATAACATCTAAGGCAGTATTAAATTAAAATACTTAAACATAATTTTATGAAATTTGTTTATATGTCAGAATTATAATATAATCTTTCCCTTTCTAATTATTAGTTTGAAACTTTAACATTAATAATCTAAAAATAGAAAAATATTGATATATTATAATAGTTATTTTACTCCTGCAATTCGAATAGAAGAGTTGTAGAGAAGAGATGAGGCTAGAGAAACCATTTTTTTAAAAATCATCTATTACCTTTTTATATCTTGGGAAATATTAAGAGATACCTACATACATATGCTAATAGTGGGCCCTACCACAATTTATAATATTTTTTCATTTTTTTTATTCATTTTTGTTAAGTTTTGATTTTGCTGAATAAGCTTCTACCGTAGGGTGGGGTGTCCTAAACCATTAAATTTTCTGCCTTATGATGAACAAAAATTTTATTTTTATGTCTTAAAAGATTGATATTTATAGAATAAGTTTAAATTCATATAAAATACTTGTTTATTTAAATTTTTTATAATATCAATATAAATTTAAAATTATACTTTATAATGTTGCAATAATGGTTTAAAGTCCTGTTTTAACAAGCCGCACCAGCATTAACTATACTAATCATTATTAAAATAATACCTAGACACCACCATAAATGTTTGTAAAAGCTTCTTAAATTAAGAGAAAAAAAACAACTTTACTATAAAAAATTATACAAAATCTATGTCAGGAAATAATTTAAATACCCTAGTGTCTTATTTAGAAATGGGATCAAATAACACACCCCACAGCAGCTAGCTCCGGTTTCCTCTATTACTCATATTGGTACGTTACTTATTCGTACGAATAATATAACCATTATTCTTAAAGCGGTTGGAAAAGAAAAAAATTTTAAATATTTTCAAAAATGAAAAAATTGAATAACAAATTTAGAAAAAAAGATTTAGTAGATGTAAAAATTATGTTAGACAAAATGTTCGATAAGGAACATGTTGAATACTTTGGATAATACGAACGAATATTTAGGAATAATTTTAAATAAATGAAAAGGCAATTATTCGATAAATAATTTTTCTCATTATTCCTATTCAATTCGAATTCAAAAATTGTGTTATTCGCATTCGAATAGTGTTATCTAACGGCTCGAATTTTAAAAACGGCCAACCCAATGTTTTAGCCAAATAAATATTATGCCAGCTTAGAGATTTTGCTCAGAGATGGCAGTCTGGACATCTATTAACAAAATCTTGAGGCTTGCGTAATATTATTTTGGCTAAAATCTTAATATAAAGTTGGCGAAATTGAGCCATCTAACAATACTACATTCAAATAATTGGTTATTCATATTTGAATAATTGAGTTATTCGCATTTGAATTCAAATTGAATAAAGAATAATTTATTTTAAGTATTATTGTATATATGAAATCTTTATATGGGGTTTGTTTCCACCCTTGGCCAGTGAAACTACTTTGGGGTTTCCACCCATCGGCCTGCGAAACTACTTTAATTTTGATTAGTCCGGCCTGTAAATTTTTTTGCTATCGAATTGGGCCGTGTAGATGTTGATTTCTAATACTATACCATTAACCTTTTACAATCTTAGAAGTTATAGGATTAATTATATTTTATTATAAAAATTAGGGTTGAAATGGATGAAAAAGAATTAACGTTAAATGAGACCATACTCTTAGGATTACCGGAGAAAAATGTATCGACTTTCCATTTATTTCAATCAATATCCATAGCGATGCCTGAATATGAATATGCCAATATTATGGACTCTAAAGGTATAAAATTTCAACTTAAGCCTGCGTATACTATTTACAAAGATGTTATTAGAATTGATTTTTTTTAAAAATAACGCACATTTAGAAATAGGTCAGTATAGCGTAGCCAATGGCGCTCATAGAATTTTTAAGGAGGGTACATGTTTTTAAATAAGATATTCACAAAAGTTTACTTATTGCTGTAATAGGAGAGACCAGGACTTCGTCACAAGGGTCTCTTCAATTCAGAGTATTTTATTTTAAAACCAGTGTATGTAGAGTTACACTTAATTATGCAATAACATTTTATTATATGCATTACTTTGGGGGAAAAATATTATATATTCCTCAGTTATTTAAAAAAAAATTAGGATAAAATTGTTTTTAAGGTCTCAATTAAAATATTTTTACATCATTTCATGATATTAAGTGACATTAAAATATGCAGTTTAAAAACAATAAAATTGACATTATATAAAAGTTAAAACCCAGTAAAAATTTACTTTTACTAAAATCAATTTTGTAGAAAAGTATTAAATATTAAATATTTTTGTCAATGCATAATCTTAGCTAGGTTTATGATCTATCTCATGGTAGGCTATAAATTTATTTACGACAATTTTTTTCGAAGCTATTGCGGTTTTGAAAAAAATAGCGCTGACGAATCCTGTTCACCCTTCATATAATTTATTGTTTAATTGGAAGCCTCAACTTTTTTATTTTGCTGTAAAATAAACCAAATTTCTCTTTAAAATTCATTATTTGATATTCTTTTTGAATATAATTATTCACCATATTATCTGGATGAAGTTTAAATAACTGGAAAGATGTATCAATTTCATTACTAAAACGGAATTTAAGCGATGAAATTAAGTCATGATTTGCACTTTTTTTCTCAGGATGGAATATATACCTATGGTGTAGATGTACCACTTCTTTCTTCGTTGTTTAGTGGCCCTTTTCCAGGTTTAACTGTATAGACCATTTTCCTTTTAATCGCCTTTCTCCATCTTACGAAGTTCTGGACATAGCCCCTGGTCAAACCTAATTCATCTCATTATCTAGCACTATCATTAAGCACGTTTTTCGTCGCCTATGTCTTGTGTTCTCACCACTTCCGACCAACGTTATCTATTCAATTAATCATCATTTGCCTTCAGTTCAACATGTCTATACCATTTCAATCTATTCTCAAGAAATCACCTATTGTATCTATTCCAATCCTTTCTCTCACTTCCTAGCTTGTTTTTCTTTCTCCTATTTTTATCAATTAAAATTAAAGGCATCTCTCCAAATTTCTTCCAATCAGTTCTTATCTTTGCCACCCTTGTCAAGTCAACCCCTTCATCTACACTAAGAATATAGATTAGGTAACGGAGCTCACTTACTTTTACAGACTTATTCCGTTTTCAATATGAAAACCAGTCATATAGAAACAATCAATTTTCTTCCCTCACACACACTTTTTCCCTTTACACCGTCTATTGTGAACCGATTTACGACAGAAGGCATAATTAATGGAGTTTCTACCAACACCTTTCCCACATATACCATATGGTCACATGCCTGCCTCCTCTATCTTTTTTAAACCTTCACCTCCAAACATCACTTTCATCTTTTCTATGTTCATTTTTAATCTCTTTTCTTTCATAACTCTTTTTATCCTTCAATTCTGTCACCAAGTTTGCATACAGTATTTCCCACTGTAGTCCTTTAGAAGTCCCTCTAGCCACTATATCCATTACTATATTAAAAAGTAATGGATTCAAGATGGGACCCTGATGTAGCTTTGCATTTACCTCGAAACTATCACTATCTCCATCATTTGTTCGGCCACATTTCGTGCCTCGTCATACATCACTATCACTGCAGTTATTATCCATTCTTCGACGCCTGATTTCCTCAGGGCCCATTTTGTAACCATGCGGTACTCGGTCCTCCATATCTATGAATTTATAATAAAGCACTTTCCTCAGATCTATAAATAGTCTAGCTACACTACAGAGAGAATTTGTTTAAATGACTAATCAGCAAATATACAAGCAAACAAAATGTAAAGTTGATCACCTTTAGTATCTTAAATATTTTCAAATAAAATAAGAATAGTTATCTAATATATAAACAAGAAAAAATAAATTATATTTTAATATTGTAAATCAAAAACATTAGACAAATCTTTTAATTGGATCTGTTCAAATAAACTTTTTAAATTTTGTTATGTTCCTTCAATGATCCAAAGTAATCATCTAAAAAAATATTTACATATTGAATGCTAATATAATCCGAGAGTCCTTTACTTGTATAAAAATGGCTATCTTAGAAAATATATAATAAAAGATAGAAAAACAATAAGGGTATCGCTAGATAATATTTCTTGGTTATTATAGTTTTATTTTAGTTTAAAAAATGTTTTTTTTATCAAAATATTGATTCGTTTTCTTTTTTTATGGATCTAAAATTGTAATAAGGTCTAACTGGATTAACCCTCGCTATATGTATAAAATAAAAAAAGAACAAGGCTGGGTTTTTGTATTTTTTATATAGCTTATTTAGACCCAATAAGCACAATTTTTTTTAAAATTATTGGTCTTACCAAATAATAATTGAGTGGGAGGGGTGATTGACTGCTTTATTAAATAAATTTGAGAGAGGTTTAATTTACGATGTAATAATAACATAATGCAGTTATATTAATGATAACGCGGGTATATACACAACTTTAAAGATAAAATTCTATCATTTTGTACACGGTTAAGATATAATTAATTTGCTCACAAAATTAAAACAGAGCAATCTATTTATTGATACTTTATTTTAAATCAATCTCAAAAGCTAACTCAGCAATCATTAAGGAAGAAGTGAATTCATTTGAAGTAGAAGAAAGGGCGGCGGAAGCAAGGGATAATATTGAGTCAAATAAAGTTAATGGGGTGGAATCGATAAACGTCACAAAGTATTGTCTTTCAAGAGTCACCATAACGATATCATGTATCATACTAGGATGTATGGCCGCGATAGCCATCATCATTCCCTCATCTGTGATATATTATTTCTTATCCAAATCTTCCAAAGATGATTTTAAGTTAAGTGAACCGCCTTATGACAAAAAGAAATCGAATATATTTTACATGATGCGAAAACTATCTAGCAATAACTTGAACGCTATCATGCCGAATAACAAATGCGACATCTATACCTCTCAACAAAATTGCAACGATGATGATAGTTTGAAAGAATGAAAAAAAATATTCAATCTGCTTAATTAAATAATTTATTTTTGATTTAGCAATGTTGTTTAAAACTTGGCATATTTATTATAATATACTATATACTCGTCATATCTCAATTTTATATTTATATAGCTTGAACTATCAATAAATTTACTTGTACAAATTGATCCTATTTTATATGTTATAGTTTTTAAGGTCAATTTTTTATATAAGATATAGATAGTGTTGTTAAGCGGCTAGATTTAAGCCATTTATAAAAACGGCGAATTCAATATCTTATTCACTAAAGAAATCTTGAGGCTTAGGCAGCCCTTTTTAAATTCGGCTCAAATAGAGTTGTTTAACAATACTAGATACAGGTATAAGATTTAAAGAAAAGGCTATATTTCATTAAATTCCCAAATTATTTAAATGATAAAATTAACATATAGAATATAAAACCATTATAATAAGGAAGAAGATATCAAATATCAGTAATCGGAATATAGAATGAGGCCTCATAAAAATTATTTGACTACCCTATTAAATTAGAGAAGTTATTTTGTTATAATTAAGTAAACTTTGAGATAGAAAGTAAAGTAAATATATAATAAATAAAACGATAAAATTAATATTCTTTGGCAAGTTTTATGAAAAACATTTATTTACCTGGAGTTAAAGCAATTTTCAAATAGAGTTATATTATTTATTTGATATTCTTAATGAAAAAACGCAAAAGGCAAATTTACATTTGCCGAATTGAAACCGATAAAAATCATATTATAACATCAGCTTTCAAAATTTCTATCAATTCATATTCACCTAAAATCGTTTTATCGTTTAGTATAATTTTATTAGCATATGTTTACACAAATTACTTTATAATATTACCACAATGGCTAAATAAATTACTGTTTTTGAATTTAAATTGTCTTAGAGCTCCCATATATTCAAAGGATGCTGTAAAAGATTATTATAAAAAAGGTAATTCATACTTAATAATATATATTTTCTTTAACTTAATGACATTTTGAATAAATAGCTTTGTATGCTTAATAATGCAGTGTTATATGAATGGGGATTGCTTGATCCCATATATCTTACGAAGCAGTAAGGGCTAAGCTAAAAAAAAAGTTTTTGAAAATAGTTAGTAAATTCTGGCCTGTGACTTCTTAATTATTTTATCTCATGTAGGCACTATTACCATAATATATAGTTATTGTCTTATTTTTTAATTGTAATTTTTTTCCACAATGTATTTTAGTTCTAATTTATTATTAATTATTATGCTGGGGATTTTTTGAAATCAATATTTAGAATGTAATTATTATTCTCAATGAAGTAACTATATAGATATGAATGAAATCTCCCCCCTCCACCCTCGCCCATTTAAAATTATTGTTTACATTTTTCTTTTAATATTTTTTCTTCTCATTTTTATAATTGTAGAAATTATTTTAACTAAAATTATAAAAAAAACTAAGAAATTATGCTATGGAATTCCTAACCATGATAATCCATTGAAGGATTGCTAGAAACTTTATACCAGGCGAATTATCTTTTACACTCATTCTTTTTTAATGTTATCTCTTGCTATAAACTTAGCATTTTCAAATCTTCCTTTATTAAATTCCGCCATTTAGAGTTGCCCTCTTTTTCTTTTATCTTTTTCCAATTCTTTCCAAATATAATCGAGTGATCCAGAATTGTATTAAAAGTTTCTATTTGTATATGGATTTAATTTTTATTAAATGGGAATGAGGAAAAGCAAGTGAAGTGTTTGACCCTAAATAAATTATTGTTATTCTATCAAGTCTTAAGATGTCCTCTGAGGATAGATTAACCAGTTCTAGAATTTTGATATGTCGGATGCTTTCAGGCTCTGACTAATTAGATTTAATAAGGTATCATGTTGGTTTCGGCTTTGATTATGTCAACAGTTTAGTCAATGCATTCCCTTGGAGTTTATCAATATGTTGCAATAATACATTAATGTGGTTGACTATGCCACATCCTAGTTGTAGACCTATAGTCAATCTTAATTTTTCTGATAATTGAAGAGGTTACACTTTGGAATGGTCTGCCACCATTCATGTACTCCTAATCTGCTAATAGATTAGAGGAGTTATAGAACTAAAAGTGGATTTGTTAAATTTTATATTTGTGTGAAAGTTATCTATTAAGTGTTAGAAAATTTTTATGGTAAATGACTGGGAAATGAAATATATAAAGTGATATTCTCTTTCTATGTATTTATTGCGCAATCTATCAATCAGAAGCGATAACTCCTTTTTAGAAACTCAAGTTGACATTTATATTTTATTTGTATGTAAATAAATGTTTATCAATTAAATGGTATCACGTTAATTCGGCGTGGCGTCAATACGGCGCGTAACTAATACAGTTGCAATTTATTATAAATTTATTAGTATAAAACAAAAGGATGATTATACAGAAGTCATTTTAAAGGTTGGTCCTATTAATTATTTCTTCTTTTTTTAAACAAAAATCTCAATTTTAACTAATTGCATAATATCAATAAAAAAATTAATAAACCAATATTTATACACTGAATTCTCTGGTGGACAATTTACCTTGTTATAAGGTATGTAGATTAGTGTTGTTATAAGATTTTAGACAAAATAATTTTATGTAAGCCTGGAGATTTTGGGCAAAAATGACAGAAAGGTTTGGACCTTTATTTCGAATCTTCATATTATTTTGGTCAAAACTTAACGGTCGTGTTTAAAAATAGACCCAATCGGTCCGTTTAACAACACTAATATTGATCCAAAACAATTCAAATTATTTTTGAGAATCTAGAGGTTAGCATTTTCCAATCATATCCAAAGATTGTTAAATTAGAAAATAATTATTGACTTAAAAATTTTTCCTTCAAGACTGACTCATTTTTAGATTTATTAAAAATCCTTAAAATAATTCTATTAATCATTTAAAAAAAATAATTCTTTTAATAATTTAAAAAATATATATATTAATCATTTTAAAAAATAATATTTTGCCTAAATCAGGGTTTGGAATTGAACCGCGAAACCGGAACGAATTGTTATAATTTTCTAAACCGTAACCGAACAGTTAAAAAAAATTTAAAAAGAGCGAACCCAATTGATATAAATATTTTTGAACCGATTTAAACCGATTCATAACGGTTTTTAAAAATAATTAATTTTAAATTATTAACCTAAATTTGACTTAATTTTCCTTTAGGGCAATTTAAATTTGTGATTTATTTTCTACTTAAAATATTTTCTACAATTAAATCGCAATTATCTTTATATCAATTAATACCAAGTTTATTGTTTTTATATACTCAATTTAATAGAGATTCGACAAATTATTAGTTAATTAGATAAGAAATAATCTTCAAGGTTGAATTAAATAAGGAATTATAAAAATATAAATTAAAAGATTTTTCTCTAAAATTAATATATATATATTATATATATAGTTTATAATTAATTTTTTTTAAAATCAAATTTATTAAAACCGGAACGAACCCAAAAGAGCCGCTATAAATTCTAAACCGAACCAAACCGAAAAAAAAATTTTTAAAACTGAAATGGAATAAAACCTTTATAAAATTTAAACTAAAAACCGAAACGAACCGTACCGCTATAGTTAACGGTTCGAAACCCTGGTTTAAAGTTTGATTATTTTTGGGTCAACATATCTTATAACATGGTAAATTGGTCAGGGATCCAAACCGAACCTGAACCGAACCGTTAAACCGCTAAAAACCTATATTTTTTATCGAACCTAAACCTCTAAAAAATTTCTAGCCGAACCTGAACCAAACCGCTAAAATGTCTCTGAACCGGTTCGAGTCTCATAATTTTATGCTTATAAAATAATGTGTAAGTTATTACTAGTAGTATATTGCAAATATTTTAATTATATTCAAATTGTTTTAAAAATTATTATCAATCACATTTGATTGATAAACGTCAGTCATAATTTTTATAAACTTTTATTGCCATTTTGCAATATTTTTTAAATATTTTAAGCTTATAATGAAAAAAATTAAATCTAATATATAAATTATTTACATATAGTATTATAAATGACACATCAAATCTGATATCATACTGGCAATGCCAGCTACCCAAGTTAGTGTGGAAGGATGTTTTTCAACAATTAAATTTATATTATCTCCTTATAGATGTAATTTGAGTGAGACGAATTTTGAAAATATATTAATTGTGCAGCTTAATAAAAAAAATTTAAGTAATTGTTCATATTTAAATTAATCATTGATACATTTATTTGTTATATTTATAAATTAAATATTATTTTATAATGTGCAATTAATAAAAATGATGGTTTTTATTTTAATTATGAAATAAAATAAAAATTTCTACATAATCCTAATGTAGGTTTGAATACAAATGTGTTCCACCCGGTTTTTAGAGGTTCGAACCGAACGGATATTTATATTTTTTGCGAACCGAACCTGAACCTTAAACCATTATTTTTATCCGAACCTGAACCGAATCGATATTCGTTTCGGTTTGGATCCCTGAAATTGGTCCACCAAAGAAATCAGTGTATAAATACTTTTCTATTAAATTAATTTTTTTAATGACGCAATTAGTAAAAGAAATTTTTGTAAAAAAAAATGAAAAATATGTTAATAGAACCAACAACCCTCAATATGACTTCTATCTAATGGTCCACTAACTAATTTATAATAAATTGCAACTGTATTAGATAGGCACCGAATTTTCAGCGCTGAATTGTCGTGCGCCTTTTCCGAGTTGAATTGACGTAGAACCCTGAAATATTCGCCTCCTAATTCTCCGTCAGTTATCATTCCGCATTCTAAAAAAAGTTGGACTCGTAACCATCCTATATCAGGTAAACGAGTTCGGGACCATTCCACTTTCCGGGTATTTTCTCTCCCTTTATATACACGACAGAAAGAAGAAGACTCTTAATGTCTATTTTTACTAATGCCTTAATTACGTTTAAAACTCTATTTTGGTGGATTTATGGCCCGATTAAGATTATAGCCAAAATAATATTATGTAACATCAAGA